GTGATTGTGTACTAGGCTGATAAAGAACACTGAAACAATAGCCTTAATGATTAATTCAAGTGAAGAATTTGATTTTTTTTAAACCACACTTTCAGGGTACTTGGTTGATGATCCAAAATAGGGGGTCTACACTGTGCAACTAGTAACCTCACTCCTCCTCTCTATGACTTTGTAAAGAACTTACTTAATAAACATGAAATAATATTTTAAGAAGTCACTGAGATTTTTGAAGCATTCAAGCTTGTTTCAATGTTCTCATACCACAAGTCACAAAAGGAAGAAAGGTATAGATGCCATCAAATTAGGTTACCAGAAAAAATAAAAACTCCCTCTATTTTACTTTATTTAATGTGACACATAAAAAACCCTGCACAAATATCTGTCTTTAATTTCTCTAGTGTAATAAAAGAAATATACTGTGTCTGGCAGAATGAAACGGTTGAAATAGCCTGGGTGCATTTTTTAAAAAGGGGAAGAAGGAAGAAATCAAATGCATACAATGAGCCTTCAAAGCCACTCCAGCAGTTGAGATAAATAATTTAATAAACTCAACTTCATATTCTTTTTATCTCCCCAGTGTAATAGGCATATATTAAAAAATAAAAATTTAAATTTATGAATACTTGTGAATAAACTAGCAGCCAGAGGATAATGAAAAACCACAGGACAATATCTATATAATCACTTAATGTGTGTCTATCACCTAATAGGCACCTTTTCCCAGAAAGGTTACAATTGCTGAAATTTGTGAACACCTAATTCAAGTATGAATTAGGCTTATTATTATTACTACTATTATCATTATTATTATTAAATTTGTGGAGCTGAGGATTAAACCTAGGGCTTCCTACCTTTCAGGCAAGCACTCTACCACTGAGCTCAAACCCAAAACCAAAATTAAGCTTTTGTTCTTGTAATACAAAAATGTTGGATTCCTACATTTCTAGTCACATCATTTTTTTTTTCTTTAAAGCTTGTAAGGATTATTTAAGGATTATTTTCTGTATCCTACACAAGCAGGTCTACAGAAGGAGATAAATTCCCTAGGAAAAAGTACTTCTGGAAAAGTTGTTTGCCATTGTTACTTGGAATGCTTTGTAGTGTTAAAAAATGACTAAATGTATTTATTTTATGTTCATTGATACCACCAACAATTTACTGGTGTGCTGTGTCTTTATTAAACTTTTTTTCTAACTGCTACATTTAAATCAAGGTTGCTTTGGTAAGAAATGAAATGAAAAAGATTTTAAAATCCAAAACAACAGTCATATGTAAGGATCTCAATCGTTAAATCATGAGATTGTTGGTGTATTTTCTCCTATCAATTAGGTCACTTTTCTTCAATTATTGTTCTATTATTAGCTCAAGTCAAAGATGTCTGCCTGCATACCACTGAACACAATTTAACATTTGTGTATTAAAGCAAGGGACACACACACACATTTAGTCTACTTCTAATTATAACAATTATATTTACAGCAAAAAAGCAAAACTAGTATCACTATGGTTCTTTTATAAATTTTACATGTAAGTAAAAAATAGATTTTAAAACCAGCCATATCTTATATCTTTATTTGAAATAACTAGTTCTTTAGGTAAGATTATCTTTAAAAAGTTACCATAGTTAACAAACATTACACACACAAATCTAGCTCCAAAACCTGGGTTATAGCTAGTTTAATTAGTATACTATTATTTTAATTCCGTTCTATAGGTTATTTCAATTAAAAAAATAAGTATGGTAGAAAACAGTCAAACGGTTAACTGAAGAGTTTAATTTTCCCTCCAACCACGTAGGGTGTTAAGATCACTGGAAGGATTCAGCTACAGACGGCAATTCATTTCACGTGCTCAGTGTAACAGAAAATCGCAGTGTTGCAGCAACAAGCACTACTTGTGCTGAGTATTATTCCAGGGCGCTCAGTTCACCCCCAGCGACAGCGGCGGACCGGTGAGTCCTGTGTTATGTAAATCACTGTCAGCGCCGGGTGTGACGGCTCAGGGAAGCTGTTCAGAAAACCCAGCCCTGGTGAGGCTAAAACCCAATGACTTCACTTCCCTGCTATATACTAAGGCGAACGAGTTTTTCAGCCTTTTTCTCCTCATCTTACTTTGCCCTCTCAAAGTGCAAATGGTTAGTGAAAAGGCCCCGGTTGCACCAATTAGTTTGCACAAAGTGTTTCAGTGTTTAGCTTCGCTTTAACCCAATTAAGCAGCGCAGCGAGCCCCGAAGATGCACCACCTGCGCGCCTGGCTCCAGCAAGGCCAGGCGGCGCCCCTTGTCGCCCGTGTCTTTCCCTTTAGATCCACCCGAACGGCCCGGGGTTCCCCGTCCCTGGCTGCCTCCCACCCTCAACTGGGGGTGGGAGCGTGTTGGGGGGGGGAGTATTGAGTCTGCAGGTGGCCCCGAGGCCAAGCATCACTGGCCAGAACCCAAATGAGAGGCGCCGGGCACAAGGGCCCGCAGCCCTGTGGAGGAAACGCCAGGCTCCGCGGCCACCATTCTTGGATGGGGAAGAGGCGAGGTCTGAGGCAGGCCTGGACACAGAGCAAGGTCTACAAAGGACGAGGACAAGGCGAGCACACCAAGAGGAGTTTAAAAATAACCTTTTCAAATAAATGAAGTCCATCGGACAGAGAAGAGAGCGGGAAGAAAGAGGATCTGGGAGTGCAGAGCCCTGGGACAGAGGTGGGCAGCTAGGTGCACGGGAGTACCAGCGCGAGGAGAGGGCTGTGGTGGCCCTTCCCCAGAGACAGCTCCATATCTGCACTTCTTTGCTTTTAAGGGTCCCTCGGGCTCTGATTTGCCTCCTCTTCCTCCCCTTCAAACTGCCAAAAGACAGCAACACCTGCCAAGTGGGGAGGAGCTTCTTTTGGGTTTCCAGTCTTTTAGGAAAGGAAGGGACCTGGGCAATGAAGTGCGCGTCACCAGCCCGCAAAGTAATGTACTATTTTAACGTAAATCGGAATCCATCATCCTTCTATAATGAGGAAGTAAATTATGGGAGGCTCTGTGATGCGCTGATCAATGCCCACCTGCTCCTCCCTCCCCCCAAGAAAATCCCAAAGCTTGAGCGAAACAGGGCAGGTGGGAGGGAGCTCTCAATATGAGCCTGCTAAATGTGGTTCTGAAAAAAAGTGTTTAGATACCTGCTTCCTGGAGCTATGGATTTCCATGAAAATATTTTCTTAGTTTGAAAGAGCAGTTATCTAAAGTAAAGGTAGAAAGCTGAAACAAACAAACTTGTTTAGGGAAGCTACCTTGTACAATATATTTCTTTATTTTTTGCTCATGAAGGATACAACTCTGTACTACCAAGAATAAGCAAGTCCTACATAACCATTTTCCTCCTATTTTAAGGTTCCAGAATTCAGAAATTTTTAAAATTTCTTTCAGTTTTTTAAAATGATGTTTAATGCTAATAAGTGAGAATGACTGTAAATTAATAATATTAACCATTTTCCCTTAATTGAAACATATGGAATAGTTTAAAATTCACCACTAAGGCTGCTTAAGCTAAGAGATATACCTATAAACAAGCCGGAAACTGTGTCAATGGGTCTCATTTCTATAATCTCTTCTGAATTTCATGCATCATGATACAGCTGACTATGAAATCACACTAAAATAATCCTGAAATTCCAGAGACATTTATTTTTAAAATATTTTTACAAATACATAAAGGGTTGGTTTAGTGTTCTGCTTGAAGCACTGGACAAATTACCTACTTGCCAGACTGACTGCAAATGGGAGGAGAGCAGATACTTTTTAAAATATTCTAGTTTAAACTGGGGAGCATAGGGTCTCCCACATTCAGCAATAATTTTCAGGTTCTTCTCAACAAGTGCAGAGGAGGCATAGAGTATGCTACTTGCCTAAGGTGTGTGTGTGTGTGTGTGTGTGTGTGTGTGTGTGTGTGTGTGTGTGTCATTCTAACACACAAGAAACATCCAAAAGGCAAAAACGACTCAAGTACTATACTCCACCTAAATCCAGCTTCTGTTAGCTAGTAGTCAGGCATGAAAGAACAAACTTTGAACCTGAACTTCAAAAAGACCCTGAGGATTAGCGGACATTAATTATCTTCGTCTAAATGCAAGTTAGTGACTTTGTTTTAGAAAGCCCTATTTAGTTCACTAATTGATGGATGACCATTAATACACCTGTATTTGCATTTCAGTGGTAAACAGACAGGCAGGGTTTTCAGTACAGAAGAGAGAGAGCCACTTTGCCAAGTCTTTTCAAAACGTCAATATGCTTCAAGTAATACCAAAGCCGAGAGATTTCTCCTTGATTTCCAAACTGTCTAGGTGGCCTGGGTGGTTTTCTGCCGCCAGCAGCTTCCTACCTTTACTTTGTGTGCTTAGATCCACGAGGGGGGATTAATTAGCCGGGCTGGAGCTGAAGGAGGCTGTCGTGACGAGCCCAGTGGCGATTGGCCGCCCGCCTGCCTGGCCCTGCCTTTATAATTTCCACACCAGTGCATCTGGGCTCTTAGGCAAACCTACAGCAGCTTCTTCTGACATATACACACGCACACTCACGCCCGACGCACACTGGGCACACTTTTCCTCCACCTGATTAACAGTCTTGCACACACAATGATTACAGGAAAACGTAAATAAATACAGAAAGGGTGATTCTTTTGGCTACTGGAAGAGCTTTGCTGGGTCTCAGAGCAACTTTTGTTTTTATTACCGAGGGGGTGATCTCTCCATGCGTCTCTCTCACAGGAGGACTCGGTAAAAGAGGAAGAGAGACTGCAGAAGAGGGGGAGAGCCACCTATCACTTTAAGACCGGCTGGGCTCCCAGATAAAAGGAAGGGGAGAGCCGGCCGCCCGGAGGCCACCGCGGCAGCCCGTCGGAAAGACACTTTTGAGACGTTCCTGAGCGCTGCGGCCCATTTCTGCACCGAAGTTGGCTCCTGCTCTAGCAGCCGCATTGGATCCCACAGCTTACTGCGAGACTCCGGTGTACAATCCGGATCTCTGCCCCAACATGATCGCGGCCCAAGCCAAGCTGGTCTACCATCTGAATAAGTACTACAATGAAAAATGCCAAGCCAGGAAAGCTGCCATCGCCAAAACTATCCGGGAAGTCTGCAAAGTCGTTTCCGACGTACTGAAGGAAGTGGAAGTGCAGGAACCCCGGTTCATCAGCTCTCTCAACGAGATGGACAATCGCTACGAGGGCCTCGAGGTCATCTCGCCAACCGAATTTGAAGTGGTGCTTTATCTTAACCAAATGGGGGTGTTCAACTTCGTGGACGACGGCTCGCTGCCCGGCTGCGCGGTGCTGAAGTTAAGCGACGGGCGCAAGAGGAGCATGTCCCTCTGGGTGGAGTTCATCACCGCCTCCGGCTACCTCTCTGCGCGCAAAATCCGCTCCCGGTTTCAGACGCTGGTGGCTCAAGCGGTAGACAAATGTAGCTACCGGGATGTGGTAAAGATGGTGGCTGACACCAGCGAAGTGAAACTGAGAATCCGAGATAGGTACGTGGTGCAGATCACGCCGGCTTTTAAATGCACCGGGATCTGGCCCAGGAGTGCTGCCCACTGGCCGCTTCCTCACATCCCCTGGCCGGGGCCCAACCGGGTGGCGGAGGTCAAAGCGGAAGGGTTCAATCTCTTGTCCAAGGAGTGCCACTCCCTGGCCGGCAAGCAGAGCTCGGCCGAGAGCGACGCCTGGGTGCTGCAGTTCGCGGAGGCGGAGAACAGACTGCAGATGGGGGGCTGCAGAAAGAAATGCCTCTCCATCCTCAAAACCTTACGGGATCGACACCTCGAACTGCCAGGCCAGCCCCTGAACAACTACCACATGAAGACGTTAGTGTCCTACGAGTGTGAAAAGCATCCCAGGGAGTCGGACTGGGACGAGTCTTGTCTGGGAGATCGGCTGAACGGGATTCTGCTGCAACTCATCTCCTGCCTGCAGTGCCGGCGGTGTCCCCACTACTTCCTACCGAACTTAGATCTGTTTCAAGGCAAGCCTCACTCAGCCCTGGAAAACGCTGCCAAACAAACGTGGCGGCTGGCACGGGAGATCCTGACCAACCCGAAAAGTTTGGAAAAACTTTAGAGGATGATCTAATCAAGAGCTGAAATGTTACTCTTCTCCAAGTCCTCATGAAATGAAAACTTCCTGTTCGAGACCTATCAAATACTCGGCCAGACAGTGCAAACAGTCTCTTCCTTAAAAAGGAGTAGTACTATCAACGTGTAAGTATCATCTCACCTCTCCCATCAAGGGGAGAAAAAGAAGCAGTGAAGGAGGTAGAAAAACCCAAACAAGTATTACAAGACTTCTTTACACACGGTTCCCTATCTCCCTTAAAAAGTACAGGATAACACCGGGAAATCGGCGCCGCTGCAATGAAGAACCATGAACACTGCCTTGATCAAAGGATTATAGCAATTCTGTGATTTAGGTACATCTGTCTGTGAGTAAACACGACTTGGATTTGCCATCTGAAGGAAAGTGTAATGTATATTTTGGTTTGTAACAAAAATTGTGATCTCACATTGTCTTTTAAAGTGTGGATGTTGGTGTTTTGTGATTTGGTGAACAGAACTTAAATTGCCATTTTTGGATACTTCCAGACATTTTTCACTAACCAAGATACCATTTAAAGTTAGATTTCCTCCTGGTACTTTTATCTGTCTTTGAAAGTGTCTGAACTTTAAAAAGTTTACATTTTTTTTGTTTCAAATATATTGCTTGTTCTATTTCTAACATTCCATAAATATACTTGAAATGTTATTTAAATATATTCAAAGGAATTTGAATTCAGCTTATATAATAACGCTTGAATATCTGAATTATATATTTGAAAAATGCACTTGAAATACACTGGATAATTACTTTTGTGATTTAGATTTTAATTTCTGTTGCTGATTTTTATTTAATTAGAAGCTAATAAATGAAGTAAAATACCAAGTTGCTGTGTTTTGCTTTGAATTGTTTTTCTATCAAAAGATGTGATGCTCCATTTTGAAAGTCGATTGCATTTGAATATTTAAACATTTTGGGAAATAGAATAGGCTTTCGAAATTGTTAAAAATAAACATGAAGATACTGAAGAAGAGCTCTTTTTGTCTAGCTACAGAAGATCTCCATCTCCCTTCAGTTTTTAGCTTGTTTATAAGACCATTCCTTCCTTCCTACAACTTACACAATTTAAATCAACCTCTGAAACCTTGCTCTTCTGGTTAGTATTTCTAAAACATTTTTGACAATATAAGGAACGAAATCTATCATGATAGTAGTTCAAATGAATTATTTAAAAATCAGACTAATTTAGAGCAAATAAATTTAACATCATAATGAAAAATTGTGAAATTTGGATATGGAAGGTAAGCTGATAAGATAAAGATAATTTCTAACCAATATACTTTGTCAAACCTTATTTTATGTAATGTAAGTGTTCCATTAGCAGAATAAATTAGTCACAAAACCAAAATTTCTTTTTGTACTTCAAAGGACAAGCTAAAACACAGAGCAAGCTTTTAACTACTTAAAATACAGAGCATCCAAGCTCACTTAAAAAATTCATTAATTCTGGAGCTACAACAAGTCTTTTGGAGTGTTTTAATAGCCTACAAGTGCTGAAAGGTCTCATTACTAATAGGCCTTAATTAATCCAGGTGGTGATAAACTTTAGAATTTGAATTGTTATTTTACAGTCACCTTCATACTGCTTTATTTCTGTATCTAAGTTAAACAAGAATACACTCATAGGTTTACAGGGGTTATAAATTATTTTACAATGACTGTCTCTGAAAATATTTTAAAGGAAGATCTTTGCACAATAATGCCAAAATATCTAGTATGACATTTATCTTGAATTCTTAAATTCAGGAAAAAGTTTTCATATTCTACAGTCACATGAAAGTTAAAACAACAGAGTTCTGAGTCATAGAGCTGCTCTAATGCTCAATTGTTTAAAATCTGTAAGATCAAATATATGATTTCAAATGGTCCAAATATCTATTTTCTGGAGTAACATCTGAAGAAGCATATAACCTAGAATATGCTAGAATATGCTGTGTGTATACATTTGTAAGTTGCTCTTTCTCTTACATTCATATGTAAAATCCATTCTTATTTTGGAATATGAAAAATGGATGCAATAATGTAGATGAAATTATATCTTAATGGATCCCATCCCAGATTCCTTATAACATTTCAATAAATAATAATTCATACTGCAACGCATACTTTTGGAAATTAATAGTAATCTTATACAAAATTTCCTAAGACCTTTCCTCACTGAAATGCTGGGGGTGGGGAAGTACCTCTGAGGAGCACTTGTCTTTATCAAATCTGCCCAAGTGCACACAAAGGCACTCACAGGAAAACTGTTGAAGTGTGTATGCTCTGGTAATACAGGATTTAAACTCATTCATATATACTCCAATTCCATAAGAGAGAGCATGTGTCTTTTCATTCATTTTATTTTCTGTGAGAAAGAGAATGCATTCCCCTCCCCCATTTTCATTAAAATCCAAGCAAAATCGAAAACCACTTCCTGCCAAAAAAGCCACTAATATTGTACATGGAATCACTCTAACTCACTTTCGTGTCGATCTTCTTGAAGGCAGGATCATCTTCATCTACTTCGAAGTAGATTTCTGTCGTGGTTATGGAGAGAGTCCCCTTGGCGACCACCACTGGAGCGATGAGTTGGGCTGGGGTGCTGAGAACCACAGGGCCTAAAAGACAAGAGAATGGAGTCAGGCTGTGCCCCTGACCCTCTCCTACTCCCCCAAAGGGCACCAACAGGGTTTTATTTGTAAAGATGTGCTATGAAAAAATGATGCCTACATTATGTGGCAAAATCTTTTCACATTAGACAAGATATGCTGATCTGCTCAGTTTTAAAATACTTACTTGTAGAGTTGGGAGACAAAGAATTCTATAAAACCCAAGAGGTCAAGCAACTCATTTGCAGAAAGGGCTGCACAATGCTTAGATTCTCCACTGAGCATCACCCGCTTTCCAAAAGACCCTAGCTATTGGGCATCGCCAGAAAGACCAACCACCATTTCAAGCCATTCCAATCGGTGACATGGCTCCCCAGGAGAGGTAGAAGAGGCAGAGGAGGAAAAGATTTAAATATGTAAGTTGCTCTGTACTGAGAGGTCAGCATCCTGAGGTTTTTTTTTCTTTCTGAATATCAGAGTTTCTGCCCCACCACACACGTGCGTGAGAGAAAACATTAAAGTTCTTATGCAGAAAACGGAAATCTTTTAACTAGTTTATTTATTTATTTTTTTTTACCACAGAATCGTCAAAAAAGATGCAAATGTAAGAAAGACGCTGAAACAAAACGATTCCTAGAAAAGGCATCTGCAAGTGCTGTTTGCCAACTGTGGAAAGAACTAGGGTTCAGTAAAATATTTTTAATTATTATTTATTTATTTATTATTATTTTAAACAAAGTGAACCTATGGGTGCTTTCTTGGAATTTCCTCAATCTGAACGCCAGGACACTAGAATACTGATGGGGGCGGGGGAGGAGCCCCCTCTGAGGGGTAGGAGGGGAGGATGTGGTGATCATAATGCCCTGGTCAAAATTCCTCAAAGTGGAGGCATACTTCGTGATCCTGTCTTAACACAGGACATGGAAATCAGAAACAACGCGGTCGTTTTCTCCCGCTGGGGTACCCACGGCGCTCCAGAACCCGTCACCTACCGGCTCAAATGCATGTAGTCAAATGAGCCAAGCCAACAGGAGGAGAAAGGCAATAAAAAGCCAGACCCCCAGCGCCCTAGTAGGCCCCGGCACCATGCGGAGAGACCTACTGGAGTCGCCACCGCCCAGCGTGGACCGGGCCCGGCCTGCGCGGGAGACTGGCGGTGGCAAAAACTGCCGTCCCGGGGAGCCACGCACCCCTAGTCCGCGACGGTCCAGCCCCGTCTCCGTGGCTGGAGAACAGAGAGGGCTGGGCAGGCTTCGGTGGCACCTAAAGGGGAGAGGCTCTGCAGCACGAGGCGTCAGTGCCAGCTTTCACCCCCGAGGGTGACCGCCTCCGTCATTCTACCGCCCGGCCCAGGCCTCCGTCGGTCTGCGTTCGGTCCCCGGGGCGCCCTGGGGACTCGGGGCCGCGGTTTCCACCGCCCAGCCCGGCGGAGTCCAGGTCCTTCCCGACTCCGGGACCCTGGTTTTTCTTTGCAAAGGGCGAGGCGGTCGATCTGAAGCGCCACTTTAAAGGCTCATCAATCTTAATCTAGGTTGCTCAAGTAATTATGCCCGAATCTCTTGTACGATTACAAGTGGATTTGGGTTTCTATTCCCCAGGCCCTCCTTTGTGTTTATTGGAGGGTCTCCGCGCGCGGCGTCGCCGCCAGCCGCCCGCGCCCTCCTCCGAGTCCCCCGGCGCGGCGGCCGGTTCCGACCGCTCCCTTAACCCTTAAACCACCAGACCGCTCCTCGGGACGCCACTTCTCCCGTTTCAACTTCGGAGAAATCTGCGCTGTTTACTTTTGAGAGGGGCGACCTGAGGAAGAAAGGTGATGTGATTCCCACCGGAAAGTGTCATCTTTGTGGGGCCTGGCTGCAACCTTAGAAAAGTCTTCGCTCCAAATACCAAGGACTCGTGATTTAGGGCTTAATAGAGGTTTCTGGCATTTGGAGACGAAGAATAGTCAGAGACACTAAAAATGGCGAACCGCTTCTTACTCCTAAAATGTAATATAACACATCCACACAATTAAATCGGGAAAACTGAAAAGAATAAGATCGTGAAACGAATTATGGAAACCATATTCACCGATTTACTGAAATGAATTAAGAATTTTAAGTATGCACCCCATGAACTTTTAACAGCGAACACATTTTACTCTACTTATTTCTCTGAATTTCTGCACTTCCTTTTGATTCGACTCCAATTTCATTCTACTGAGTTGAGATTTTTTTTTCCCCTGGGAGTTTATAAGAAAGGATTTCGAACTGCTCCTTAAGAAAAGACACATCATGAAATATTCAGCCTTAATAGTGTGTCATTTTCGCTCTTGTCCTTGGAAATCTCCAATTACAACTTCCAATTCCGTAGCATGTTTAAGGAGCACTGAGTCTTTTTGTTGCAGCCTTCAGGGAGCAAACCAGCCACAGAGAGAATACCGAGTTAATCCACTACAGCAATAGAGAGAGGGATTATGTTCTAATCCCCTTTGGGGGAGACTCTGGATATTAGGGATCCTATATTAAAACGTTTACCTAAAGCACAATCACAAAACAGCAGATTGTCCATATGGTACCTGGTTATTTGAAAACCTTGATCTCTTGCTAAATAGAGGGTTTCAAAAGGACAGCATCACTGGATGCCAGGGAGATGGTAATAATGGCAGATCTGGTCCTACAGGTGATCTTAACTACAAACTGAACCTTCTAAATGGTGTGGTGTAGTAAGTTGGGGACTGGCTGTAAATATATTAATTCCAATTTTGACTTGTCATAAAAGGATACATGATAATAAACTCATCAGTACACATATACAAGTAATGATGTTAAAGGATAGTTAAATGAATAAGCCTCTTTCTATTGTATTGATGCATACAATAATTTAAAATTCCTCCATTTAAAGTGATAATTAAATGCTAAAAAGTTATTTACTTTTTATGATTGATGGTATAATATTTTAAAAATATGTATCCACTACTAT